CAACATCAATCACTCTAAAATTGAAAGAAAAGTGGATGAAAAATTAATTATTTGTGTTGAGATGTATCTTATTTGTCTATATATCTTTTAATATATACATATATGATATATATATTAATTTCGTATAAAAATACAATGATAAAATATATATATATTAAAAAAATTTTAAAATAAAAAATAAAAAATAAAAAAAATTTAAAAAATTTAAATTAAAAAAAAATATTTTTTCCATTTTAACTAGGGGTGAAAATTTTTGACTCAACACGATGACACGAATCGAACTCAATACAAATTTTATGACATAAACTTGATTATAATTCAACAAGAACTCGAAAATGACTTGACATGCGAACAAGAAATATAAAAGGCTCATAATTTTATGACTCAACACGAATTTGACACGACACGACTCGATTGTCAGTAGAGGTGCAACTCGGGCGGGTTGGATAATCAACTCTAACCCGACCCTAGGTATATAATCTATAACCCTAACCCTAACCCTATCTCGGGTTGAGGAACTCAACCCGAGCACTGCCTGAGTTCAATTCGAGCAGGTTCGGGTTGAATTCGGGTTACTTTACAGGTTCAATTCGGGTTGAGTTCGAGTAAAACCCAAAATAGATTTGTTTTTGTAAATCTAATACATATATTACATAATATTTACATAAATTAACAACTAATAACTTCAACCAAATTTTTAACATAAAAATCATAATAGAACATAAAAATCATTGCCACCAATCCATTGTGAGAGAGACAGAGAGAGGGGGGAATAATGACAAATTCATAAAACATAATTCATATATTTCATTCATAACAATGCATGATTATTAATCATCTGCTTTCACACCAAAAATGAAAAAGCAATGTTAATGCTTTATATATATATAATTTTTTTTATTTGTCAGGTTCGGGTTGAACCCGTGAATCCGAGGCCTTAACCCGAACCCAATCCAAATTGAATTCGGGTTAGAGTTTTTTGACCCAAGTCCAATCCAAATATTAAAAACCTTTGCCCAAGCCCTAATTTTTTCAGGTTGGGTTCGGGTTAAAATCGGGTTGTCCAACCCAAGTTGCACCCCTAATTTTAGCCAGCACAAAAAATATTTAAAAATATTAATCATTTTTATTTTTCATCCACCAAACCGACATAAAAAAAGGAAAATGTATCATTCTTATTTGAAATATTTGAAATATAGAAAATATATCCCTCCTAATTTTCATCCTTTTTATTTTTTATCATTCCTACCAAACAGAGTATAACAAAATATTAAGTGGGTAAGATGAAGCTCACTTGAGTACCATTTATTTATTTATTTTGCTATTATTAATTAGTAATATTACGTTAACATTATTATATAATATTTCCGTTGTACTGAATATTTCTCCGTCGTGGGGTGCAAGGGCATGGAGAGGGGTTGAGGGGGGGGGGGGGTTCTGTGTGGAAAAAATCACTCGCACAATCAAAATACATTAATCCTATACTGACCAAATTTTAGAATTAAATTTGTAATTCAAATGACATGACAACATTTTATTTGAAATTTTTATTGAGACCCAAATGATATGACACTAAATAAAGAAACCCAAGTGAACTGTCATGTCATTTGAACTCTAAATTTAATCCTAAAATTTGATAAATATAACATTAGTCGTCAAAATAAGTCATCATGTTACGTGTTTAGTTTCTTTTTCCTTGTACTTTATGTGCCTTTTTTTTGTTTCATTTCATTTGAAGACCTTAACGTAATGTTTCTACCGTACAATTGTAAGACCATGGTTACCCAGAATATGCCGAGTATATCTCTCTGGACGGCAAAAAAAGTAAAATTATGGAGACAATAATATGTGTACCATGATTCACAGTGCCTAGGAGAATATTTCTTTTCTTAAAAAAGTTATTCTCCTAGGTTATTATTAATATCTTCTCGTCGCCTAGTCGCCGCGTCCACCAATATTGATTTGGTATCTAATTCAACCATGTTATTTTCATCTTTTTTTCAATGATGCAATCGAAAGAATTTGAAAAATTGACATTATTGATGTTGGAGACCCCCACCCCCCACCCCAAACCATTCATTTTTGTGTTTGAATTTTTTTTTTTACAAGTATGTTTTGGAATTTTATAAACAAAATTTGAGCCAAAATTAAAAAATGGACGCTAATTAGTAGAAGAAGAATAAAATCGAGTGAGAAACGGGGCCAAATCGAGTATATTATAATTTTACAATGATATGTAATAAAAATAAAAATAAAAATGATAGATTTGTATAATATCATGGAACATATTTCTCTCTGATCCCCTATAAATAACGGTTACAAGAAAATTCATTAATTATTATATTAGTGGAAGAAGATTATTATTTACCTTTTCACTTTAAAAAACACACACCAGACCATCGAGCAGTTGGTCCAATGAATAAGAACTTGAGTTTTCTCGCTCAATATTTAGGTTTGAATCTTCATAATTACAACTGTTGTTTTTGGTGTCAAAATAATGTAAAATCACTTATTAAAATTTTTGATTTGAACTATGTAAAGAGTTACACAGAAGCGAGTTACACTAATGAAATAATAACAATAAAGAGTCACACAAAGACGAAAGAGTTACACGAATGAGTTACATGTAACTTTTTGTAATATAAATACTAACTCGGTTGCTGAAGAGGAGCTGTTATTGAAGCTGATATAAATCAAAGATAGTGTTTGACACTATGATCTTAAGATAGATTTCGCCCCCACATACGGTATTTATGAAACACCGAACGTCTGCCTCCTAGGATACAATGATCTTTATATGAGTAGAAGTAGAACTCCAATTTATTCGTCTAGCGAACCAAAATTTGTATTGTGTACTCTCCAAGACACTGCCTTAATGCCAATATGCAAACTGTAATGCACTAATGTTTGCCTTAATGTCGAAATTGGACTGAGCAAATGAATTGATATAAAATGATAATGAGCTTGAGTATTTGTAGACAATTTAATGACTTTTCGGACAGCTACCATACTAAAAGACACAACCTAAAAAGACAAATACCAATTAGTAGACACCACTTGTAACTGTTTTTTATGAACAGTCATAACTCAATTTCGGACTGAAGGGAAGTAACACATCCGAACCAGTGTAATCTAACGGATACCAAAAATTAAATTTTGGTTTAGAAATTCTTGCCCAATTAATTAATTAAATTTTCTCTAAAAAGATAGGGATTGGTTTAAACTACACCCATACCCAAGCCTGATCGGATCGTGGCGGGGCGGGGGGCGTGCGGGTATTATCGAACCGAAGACACGTAGGTGCTCACTCTGCTCATAAAACTGTGGTACCCCTTAGGGTCCAATCCCATAGAGCAAACTTGACCTATATATACCCATGTTGAATTTCTTTCTCAACCAATGTGGAATTGATGTCAAATTTCACATTGCTTAACCTTTATTTCCACATCTCAAGAGGGTCACTTTAAAACATATTTTCTCATTCATTTCTTATTCGATTTGAGCAAGTGAATATACCAAACTATTCTCCTCACAGAGTAGAATATGAACCCACGAAATTTTATTCAAAATAATAATCGAGTCCCATTTTAATTTAGACTCAAAGTCGTCTTAACGCGGTGGGAAGACTGAAAGAAAGCAGTAACATACGCGAAGTTGAAATCTACTTTATCAATGAAAAATGAAGAATAACCAAAGTGAAATGTTACGAGAAGATCTACCACTTCAACAGTTCTACAATAAGGAAGAAAAAATGATTGACAAAGGTAAGCGAGTCCACCCGTAACTGAATTCAATTTTTTACACTTAAAAATCTATTTTGATCCAACAACAACAGTTTGGTGGAGTTAAACTTACTCTTCAATACCCAAAACATATGGTGAGACTTTAACTTCTGCCCCGACAAAAGTGCCGTGGGATCTCTTGCAGATAGTTTTGTGTGTTAAGGAGTAATGCTCCCTAATGAATATGCGAATATGTGAAGTCCCTAATTATTTGAACTAAATCACAAGAAGATTAATGGCTAAAATCTGTTTTTTGATATGATAAACAAAAAATAAATTTTGGTAGCACAGTACTATGTAATAATTAAGTTAGATTTTTAGGTTCAAATAGTATTACTCTAATAAGTAATACTCCGGTGACCTTGTGCGATGCACAAATTTATATCTATGTTTTTAGAGACCAAAATAAATCAAAGATTGAATCAAAATTAAAATGATTTAAGTTGTTTTAGATTGTTCGAAGTGTTATAAAGTATTTTAATAATTAATATTTTAGAATTTTTTTATATATTTCAACCAATATTTCTGTATATTATGACCGATACGTTTGAAATATATTTTTTTTTTTTCTAGGCGACCAAAATACTCAAAAGATCTTGGTCATGAATTTTGATTGCAATTTGTCAATGTAGGATAAAAGAAGAAAAGTTGACAATTTTTTTTTGGTTATTAAGGATTAGAGATAAAATCAAGGCATCCACTCATACTCATCAACAAATACAAGTTCTTAGAAATTCTAAAAGACTAAAACGGAAGTTAATAAAAAGAAAAAAATAAAAGAAAAAACTATAGGGTGAATAATAGTTTGTACACTAAAAGATTTTCAAAATCTCAATTTATATCCTGAAAGATTAAAGTTCTAATTTCACATCCTCAATCACATAAAAAAAATAGCAATATAGTCAAAAAGTAAATGTTTGTTGCCTTTTTTCCGACAAATTTATCTGTTGCTTTTGTCATGTTATCTTATTTTTATACACAATTATTTGCATAATACTCAATTTTATATAATTCTAATAAAAAATGTTTTTCACAATTTCATAAAATGAAACACATTGATGCCTTTTCATTTGATTGAGGATGCAACATGAGAATTTCAATCTTTAAGAGTGTAAATTGAGAATTCAAAGATCTTTGGGGGTACAAAGTGCTATTTGCCCCAAAAAAAAAAACCATTTCAGATGAAATAAAACTTTTCTCTGCAGCCATGATCGGTCGTCTTCAATGACCAACAGCAAAGCATGACAATTCAGGCACGTCCGACGCTACAGTGGGTTGAAGAAGAAGACACCGGCGTTGCAAGGTAGGTGGGGTTCTCGTCCCCGGCCATGATGACGAGGATATTCGGCGTGAGATCGGTCTCGGTATTCTTTGGTTTCACAGTTTCAGATTTCTCTTCTGAATGAATCCATGAGTTGGAAGATTGGTTCCGGTACCGTGAACAGACGAGAATGATGAGTGCTATGGTAATGAACCCTAACGTCAGAGCTACGCTGATAAAGAGATAGGGTAGGGGAGAATTCAATCGCCATAATGGAGTCCTGGAGGTTGAGAGTGTGTTTGCACTTGCAGCCCTCATCTCTCTCTCTTTCTCTTTCTGGAGGGACTGATGATGCGGAAACATTTATAGGGCAGGATTGAATTTAGCCGTGCTATAAGGGTTTGATTATGGTACTCGACAAAAAAAAAAAAAAGGTACGTGTTACACTAATTTTTGATATACTTTTATTTGTTGGGTTTACATATAACTTTTTAAGTAGAGTTTATCACTAAGATAATATTTTTTTTAATTTTCAATCAAATGGAAAAAAAAATGGAACTATTTTAAACTGCCCGAGGGCCCAAAGGAAGTTTCTTCGTATTTTCAGGGTAAGTAAAAGGAAGTTTCTTTGTTGTTTGTGCTAACTTTCATTATTCCAGGTTATTGGACCCACTAGACGAGTAAATACCGAATACAACGGTGATATCGTATTATTATTAATAATATGATATTATCAATTAATAATAAAATTTTAAATAGAAAAAGTGAACCTAACTTGAACTTACATGACAAAAAAGTGAAAAATTATTTGCTTACATGACAAGTTAGTTATTAATTTTTGTGAAATTCATCTGCTTATTTGTTTTAGTAATTTAGTGGTTGACCACCGTTACTTAAACTGGATTAAAGAATATTTTTAAAAGGATAAGAGTGTCATTTTTTTAATCATTTGGAAGGGTAAACCGTTTGGGATAGAAGTGAATTTCCAAACCTTCCCACTTTGGGATAGAAATGAAAATCTGCGGAGCTAAAATCATTCAATTTTTACGGATCTAATTTGCAAAGCTAATTTAATAATTTAATTATTTACTGTAAATTAATAATGGTTGGAACTCGCTGTCATGCTAATGACAATAATGAATTAAATAGACTAATTAGATCAACAATTAGTTCCGAATAGAAGTATCGAATATGTAATTGAACTCTCTCTTTCTTCCATTTATTTTCCTCTTGAAATCTTTTCAATCCAAGCAAACATTATTACTAGGGATGTTAGTCGACCGAAACGGGGGCGGAGAGTATAGTCTTTATCCCCGTACCAGCTTAAAAAAACTCCGTCCATCTCCGATTCACCCTCATTAACGAGTATAGTTTTTATCCCCATCTTGTCCACGGATAAATTTCTAATTCCCGTACCCGCTTCCCTCGTACCCGCCTAAGCTGAAGCCGAAGCCGAAGCCGAAGCCCAAGCCCAAGTAGCATAATCCAAAATTTTAAATAATCAAACTACGTTCTAAATAATCTAATATAATTTAACACACATAATGTAGATAACAAAATGTAAAAGCCAAAACAATAAAGTATTCTATTTAAAGTGTCATTGGATTACAAAAAGAGGAACAGAATTATTAGAGAGACTAGAAGAAAAGGAAAATAAAATTGAACTAAAAAATGATAGCACTACACTTGAAGTTTCCTAAAAGAATTTTTGTTATTATAATTCATATTATAGTCATAAAGTGTTAAAAGATGAAAACGTAAAATTTTGCTAATTTAATAATTTTTCCCATTTCTTAGTTCACTCTAGCAGAGAAACTCATTAACCTCTATTCACAATATTTCTATCCACAATAAAATGCAAAACTATCTTACTCTCTCTTTTTTGTTTTTAGAGCATGATCAATCCAAACTCCTAATAGTTTAATCAGTGAGCACAAATAAAAAAAAAACAATTAGGAAAAAAAGTTGATAAGATTATCACATAGCAATGCCACTTGTTAGTTTGATTACCATATTTTTACATTGGTAGTTACAGTAAATATGTTAGTAAGGGCTTGAGAGTATATATATATATATATATATATATATATATATATATATATATATATATATATATATATA